TATACCGAGCTATACCGAGCAATACCGAGCAATACAAAAACATACAGAGTTTTTTCTAGGAAAAACTAGGTATTTTTTTTGTAAACTCGGTATGTTTTTGTATTGCTCGGTATAGCTCGGTATAACTCGGTATTAGTCTTCACATGATGATATTCCTCGTTATTGTTTGGTATTGCTCCGTATTTGCTTGGTATTTCTCGTTTTTTAGCGCGATTTTAGTTCTGAGAGGACGCATCTCTACGTCAGGTGGGAGGACGCAATAATTATTCCCTCCCAAGCGAATAGATTTGCAACCGCAAGCAGTCGACCAAATTCTCAACTCCAAAGCCTTCGCTTATGTAAATTGGCAGACCGAAGCCTCCTCTTGCGTGAATTTCTTGTGGTTGTGTAACATAATCTACATATGCACACCTAAATAGTGCACATGCACATTTCAAGGCATGCTGGTCCATCTTAGGAGGCTAAAATTCTATGTTGACTAGAAGTTTAATTGGTTACATAAAAAAAAATCATTAAGGAATGTGTTGAACTCACCAATAGGTTCAAGTTGACAATTCTATTTAATTTAAGTATTTAACCATTATTATTAGCCTTGGTAGTTGATAAAATCACCAAGGCTCTAGGGGTGTCAATTTTTGACACGACTCGAAGCACGACGCAAATTCGACCCGGAAAAATTCGGGTTCGGGTCAACCCAGGCCCGAAACGGGTCGGATTCGGGTTCAACAAGTCAACCCATTTTAAAAATCGGGTAGGGTTGACCCAGCAACCCGAAAATGACCCAAAATTAACACGAAAACTCCTATTTGTCTCAGAAACCAGAGATTGACATATTTTTGACCCGATTTTGACCCGAAAATCGAAGATTGACCCTATTTTTGACCCGAAAACTAGCAATTTTAGGTCGGGTTCGGGTCAAAAGTGTCGGTTGGGTCGACCCGGACCCGAATCGGGTCAACCCGAATCTAACCTATTTTTTTGAGTTGACCCGAATAGTGTCGGGTCAGTTTCGGGTTCGACCCAAACCCAATCCGTTGACTCAAATTGACACTCTTATACCTACCTAACTTGCCAAAGCTATTTGTCTAATGTCTCGAAGCTAATGGTCCAAACATTTTATGTTTAAGTGACATTTGTGAGTGACCATTACAAAATCCTTTAAAATTTAAGATGTACTATCTATATGATAAAAAAAGCCACAAACTTATGATAATTCTTTCAATTTTATAACAAATACTTGCAAATTTTATTTGCATTATTTAAATTAACATTTTTTTTAGCATTGCAGATTTCAATCCGCTTCATGAGTTTTGTACTATATAATATAATAAAATCTCAACCTTCTGATTTTAAATATTTTTCTCTTTAGTAAAGTTATGTATCATTTATGTACAAAATTAAATTAAATAATATATAAAAATTGATATTTATATAAATTAAAATACTTAAAAAATTTGAAATAATATATTAAGCTTCAATTAGGTAAAATAGTTTATTCAAATAAATTATTTATTTTATTTTCAAATTAAAATTATAATGAATATTTTAGAGGATGAGTCATATATATATTAATCCTAGTTAGTGAAAGCCGTATTTAAAGCTCTAAAGAAATATTAAAAAAATAAAGGCATGCTTTAAAAAAGGGGATTTACATATATATCACTATATTTCATGATATTTAAATATCTAATGCCCAAAATATTAATATTATATGCGTACTATACATAGAATAAATTTTGAGTGCATGGAATCGAAAAATAAAATTAAATTTATAGGAAGGTATAAACAATTTTTAAATTCGGACTGACGTGACCGTTGACGATTCAACCGTGAACCGATTCACAATGCACCGGCCCGGTTCAATCTTAAAACCGCCTTTGCATTGCGCGCGAGCTGAACCGGTGACACTGGGCCCAATTTTTTTTGAACCTTCAATATTCAAATTTTTAAATAATTTAAATAATGATTAACATATATTTAAAAATGTTAATTAATTATATTATTTTTTTATTATAAACCATGTACTCCCAACCATTATGAAGCATTTCTGTGAAGTTCTTTGTTTCTGCTCAGACAGATGGTCGGACGATCAGGTTGAAATTTGCTCACAGAAATAGCAGTTGGCTCGGCAGGTGATTTTTCTCCCAGGATGCCAGGCCGATAGGGGCATCGTCCCAATATAGTTCAGTGCAAAAGACAGAGCAGGAACTTTTTCAATAAAAAAATAATTAAAAAAAAAGATTAATTATCGTCCTGGGGATCGTCCAGGAACGGCCCAGGACATGGGGTTTTTGGTCTTGATCGTACCAAGGTGATCGAGGCATCGTCCGGGACGATCAGCTGGATAGCACAAGCAGAGAGCAAGGGTTTTTTTGTGAAATTAATTATGTCGCTGAATCGTCCTGCGAATCGTCCAAGACGATGTGAAATGAGTCTGATCGTCCAGGTACAGATGATGTGCGATCGGCCAGGACGATCTAAGTATTTAAGCTGAAATCAAGGTCATTTTGAAGAGAGAGCTCGAAATAAAATAATATCATAAAATCAGCGCGAGGAGAGAGAAGGCTCGAGAGCCTAAATTGGAAAAAGTTGATCTTTCGGGCGACGAGGACGTTTTCGTTACAGTCTGACAGTTCAGATGTATTACGCAAAGGTAAGACACATTCCGCTTTCTCAATTTTCACGAACGGTGCAATTAAAGACTTATTTGTCCGGATTTCGGTTTTTGTTAGCTATTTCGTCCGCGTATTTTCGATTGGTTCAGTTTAACGCGTATAAGTTTTCCCGTATTGTTGTTGATCGTGCCGAGTGTGCCATTTTTGGTTATTTTCTGGAGATTTTGTCGAGGGTATTTTGAATTCCGCCGGTGTTTATTTACGCTATTTTTTCTGTGATGAGATTAAATATTGTGGCGTAGAATTAAAGTTTTGCAATGTTGTTATCTATATATCTGTGGCGAATTTGGTAATTCTGGATTTTCAAGGAAAATTGTGTAAATTCCGTATACAGCGTTGTGCTGGCCCGATTTTTGTCTGATTTCTTGAATTCGTTCGGATTTTCTTTTGAATTGATATGCTATCTGTATATGCTATATCAAAGGGATGTTAAGGGGTCTGGATCCTAAAAGATTCAGCTTAGTTGTAATTGGGAAATCTGAAATGGTCAATCTGAAATCTGATATCTGTTCTGTTCCGGATCCGATGAATTCTGTCTAAGTGCTGTACAGCACATATGTTCTGGTGCCGTGAACACAAAGGGAGGCATAAGGGGCCAGAATCCGTAAGAGATTCTGTCAGTGTCAGAGATTTAGCTTATTAATTACAATTACTAATCTGATATCTGATTTTGATATGACTTCTGTTTCTGTACAGTTCTGTTTGATCTGGTTCTTTATCTGTTCTGATTTTGATCTGTTTCGTTTCTGATCTGCACAATTTTGCATATCTGTTTGATTCTGTTCTGGTTTCTGTACGAATTGGTTTGAAGTTGTTTGGTTTTGGATTTCTGGAAGTTTTGATTGGAGGTTTGTTGGCTATTGCTGGAGCTGTTTTTGCAGCTCACTTTCCTATTTTCCCTGCGGTGTGTTTTTTTTTTTTCAAAGGGCTTCTGGGAAGGGAAGGAGGTCTGGACTAGAGTTCAGGGTCTGATCAGAGATCAGTTATAGGTTTTGTACTTTTTGATTTTGTACAGTCATGGCTTTTCTTCTTTGTTTTTTCTCTGTCAGCGCATGTACTTGTATTTGTAGATGATTGTTATTGAAGGAAAAAAAATATGATTGATTTGTTCCGACTGGCATTTTGATGTTCATAGTAGCTCTGTGAGTCTGTTTTGAGTTGAAATATTTGGAAGAATAGTTCCGAAGCAAATTTCAAAGCAGATCCTGGTCTGTCTGTTGTATAAGCTGTCGCGGCCGGTGGTGCCGATGATCACGTCCCGGTCGGTCGGCGTCGGGTCGGGTCGTGACATTTCTCATAGCCCATCAAATGTGAGCCTCTTTACACAAGGAACTCAAAATGCTATAGAAACAATAACAAGAAAGTCTTTCAATTGGAGTGGGATTAATGAAAAGGTTGAGTATGTATGAGCTCATAACATATCTAATGCAGATAAAAATTATTTTTTAAATAGATTTTTTAATTAATTATTTTTTTTTTGTAAATTATTTATTATTTAATAAAAATTTATTATAAAATATATTATTTATTTATCACTAGAAAAAAATATTTATCATTAATAATTTATTAATGATTTAGATATAATTTATAAAAAAATTAGATATAACATAACATGTAAAATATATTTTAATCATATAATAATAAAATAAGAATAATTTATATTAATTTATAAACTTATATTAGAATTAATTAATATTAAATATGTATCATATTAGTATTAATTTAAATTAATTATATGGTCATATGTAAATTAATTTTAAAATTTGACAAAATGTTTAAATTTAAAATTATCAATATTTTATGAGTTAAATTCTTTAATTTAGAGATTTAGATTTTTTTTCTTTTATGTGAAGATTTTTTAAAATAATTCTTTTACTTAATTATGTAAATTTTATGTTTCTAGTTTTATTTTGTTTAATTTTTTATCTTAAACCTTTGAATATAACATTATTTTATGTTAATTTTATTAAATTTTATTGTTTATTATTTATTACGTCATCCGGTACGATCCCGATTAGACTGGTCGAACCGTTCAAACCGTGAACCTCTTCTTCTTTCGGTTAGTTGTTCGGTCCGGTTTTTACAATCTTGGGTATAAATAATAGAAATGAATTGTATGAGTGATATATTTAATATTAAAATATTATATATTGATAGATGTATAATATTAATATTTTAAATATTTGATATGCGAATAGCATAAAATAAGTGATGTGTATGTAAATTAAAAAAAAAAACAGCAGTAACTTGGAATCTAGAGACTAGTGCTCATGCTACAGTACGTTCAACTCGTAATCAGAGTTTTGTTAGAGTATCGTCTTGTTATCTGCCTCAGTATTTTTTGCAGTTTCTGGCGCAGAGGGGAAGGCGCAGTGTGCGCTGCCGCTGCTACTGCTTTTGCTGCGGCTGAGACGAGCGATTTTGGCTGGCCTTTTACCGTTTAACCCTGAAACTTCTTCGTAGCAAAAGAACTCCGCTGTCTCTTATTCTTCTTCGCCACGAAACGGGAAGTCGAATTAGAGAGAGAGAGAGATGGAGGATTTATACTGTATACATCCGGGGATCCCTCGGGCGACGATCGTCGGCTCAGGCGAGCTGTCTGTTGGCTGCGAAGGAGAGATCCGCTTTGACGGAGCCGAGATAGCTGCAGACGAGAGCGGCTTTCTGGAGGCGGATCTCACGGATCTTATCAAAGCGCGGATTGCAAGCCACCCGCGATATTCCTCTCTGCTCTCGGCGTACATCGAATGCAATAAGGTTGGTAAAAGAAGAGAGAGAGAGAGAGAGAGAGAGAGAGAGAGAGAGAGAGAGAGAGAGAGAGAGAGAGCAAATATACTGATGGATTGTTTTGTGGTTTGAGGAAAAGGTTGGGGCACCACCGGAGATGGCGACACTTCTTGAAGATATTGCTCGAGAAAGAAGTACTGGCAGATACTGTGGCAGCGTCGGTGAAGTGGGGGAGATCGGAGCGGATCCGGAGCTCGACGAGTTCATGGTGAGCGACCGTCCCTAGAAAACCTTCTTTGGGGAATCTTTCGATTTCGAGTTAGTTTTCATATGATAGCCTCTTTTGTTTATTTCTTTGGTTTGTTTTTCTTTTGGGAAATTTACATACATACCACTTTGTTTTTTTGTTTTTTTTTTTCTCTTTTGGGATTGGGATTGGGGTTTGTGGTCCAGGATTCCTACTGCCGGGTTCTGGTGAGGTACAAATATGAGCTCTCCAAGCCATTTGAAAACCCTCTTTGGGGAATCTTTCGATTTCGAGTTAGTTTTCATATGATAGCCTCTTTTGTTTTTTCTTTGGTTTGTTTTTGTTTTTTTGTTTTTTGTTTTTCTCTTTTGGGATTGGGATTGGGGTTGGTGGTCCAGGATTCCTACTGCCGGGTTCTGGTGAGGTACAAATATGAGCTCTCCAAGCCATTTGACGAGGCCGTCTCCTTTCTCGCCAGTATCGAGTCGCAGCTGAGCAAACTCTGCAACTTCTCCGCTGCGGCAACCACTTCGTCCTCCTCCACTGCATTCTCCACGGCCGTCGCCAGCACTGGTGGTGCTCTCACCTTCGGTAAACAAATTAACTCTTTTTTGTCCTATTTCCTCTATATTTATTCCCTCAAAGAAAAGTAAAAAATATATACATATCGCTCGTTTGCGAGAGGGTAGGGGCTGGAGGGTAGCAGGAGCAGTCAAATCGTGGGCATGCAATAGGGCACATGCGTGTCAGAGGTTAGTTTTAGTGCACAGACGTAGGGCGTGAGATTATTAGGGATTCTGAGAAATAGAGATAGGAAGGAAGAAAGCATAGATGTTTTGTCTTCTTTGCCGCGACTTGCCTTCCTCAGTTCTGAAAAAAGGCGCCAGCTTTCGACCTCGGGACAATAGCTTCTATTTAAAGCAAGCTTGTTAAAGAAGATGGAAAGACTGTTGGTTTCTGGATTCTTGTTACAGTGGTTTATTGTTCTTCTACTGTTAGGGTTCCCATGGCAGCCCAGTAGTCAATATGAATTTGAGCTCTTTTCTTGAGTGCAGACTCTGGGCGTTGGCTTGGTGTGAGTTGAGTACATTAATTTGTTAATTTTTAGTATTTATGATTAAGTTCGTCCAAAGATCATTGGATGCTTTTGCTGTTATTAAACATACATATAATATTTTTAATATCTGTTGCCTGATCTTGGATTTATTATTATGTGCGGAATCTAGAGGGCGTCCAGAGATCAATAAAAATGTGTTACGTTACCCCAATTCTCGGTACCGAGCTCAGGACCCACGCTCGGTACCACTCGGAGCGGTACCGAGCACTTAACCGGACCGGAGAACATTCGGTGTCCGCACAAAATAATAGCTCCTGATCTTGTGGGCTTGTGTGCATTCTGAGCTGAGTACACTAGCTAATTTGTTAATTTTTAATATTTGCAATTAAATTCGTGCAAATTTCGATAAAATCATTTTTGTTTATATGATGCTTGATCATTTTATGCTTAGTTCTTAGAAATACATATAAGTTTGCTTTTGTATTTGTATATTGAAGGTCAGTTGTTTTTAATGAATGATGATATGAATGCCTTTAAAAATTTGGTTTAATGGTGATGTGAATGTTTTGTGAGCGATGCTTTCGTTTTTCATGTATTAAAATTGTGATGCATGAATTTTTGAAAGTCTGTTTATTCTTATGTTCGATATCTTACTATTATTTTATTGCTTCTGTTATTTCATTATTGTTTTTTTTCTATTTTAATTTTCACAGTTGTTTAATATTTTGTCTAGTTTTCATATTCAATAAATTATGTTTGATATATTGTGTGAAATACTCGTTGTAAAGGTTACAAACCAAGTTTATATAAAACAATTCTAATAATTGAGACAATAGAATACTCTTTTTTAATTATCTTATCAAAATTTTAAAATAATTTAATCATTTGTTGAATGGTCATAGTATGAACTTATACATAAAATATATGATAACAATATCATAGTCTGAATATGTTATAGTTTTTACTTTTTGGTGGTTCTTCAACTTAAAACGTTAATATAGCATATTATTGTCTTGACCTGTAGCAGTGTTTCACAATACAAACATTGCACATGCAATGATACTTAGCTAAATTTTCCAACATAAATTAACTACAAATTACTTTATGACTTGCAATTAAAATGAGTGATATTGATAATTCATATTTAGAATTTACTAAATAAAAAATAAATTTTAATTTATAAAAATGAAGAGATGATTACTATTTTGAAGTTATCGAAATAAATTGCCTGAAACTCTATAATGTCTTTTTTTTTTTTAAATCCAATTATCTAAAACAAATTGAGTTTGATAACAATTTATGAAAAATTTCATAATTTAAGAAAAATGGGTGAGTTGAGTAATAATATTTAGAATTTATCAAAATTTTGTTTGATTGGTGATTTACTCTTCATCTATATTGAGCAAAATTCAAAATGTTAGCCCTTTTTTTTTATGAATTCAAAATAACACTTTTTTCCATAATATGATGAATCATAAATATTTAACTACCACCACCAACAACAACAATAAAAGCCTTTGTCCCACTACATGGGGTTGGCAAATTCTTATTTAAATTTAACAAAAAAAAATGTAATTTTTAATATTTTCTAATAAAGTCTTTTTAGGTCTACCTCTGCCTTTCCTTACGTAGGTCAAATCTAATTATCTAATACATTACTCTCCTAATTGGGTCATAGGAAGTCTGACATTTTATGTGATTAAACCTTCTATGATGTCTCTCTCTAATCTTAATAGAAATTATTATGGTATTGAAAAAGTGAGTGAATTAAGAATTTTAATGTCTTTAATTTATCAAAATATTAAAAGAGAATAATATTATGAATTTTTCAAAATATTGGTAGATTATAAGCTGATTATTTAAATCAGATTAATTGAATTATACGATTGCATGAATTATTCGCTTTTTTTTTCTAATTTAAGTTAAAAAAGATAAATGATATCCAAATTTTGTTTAACAGAAATCTTTTGTAGCTAATTTTTTTTAATTTTCCGAATATGATGATTAATATTATAAAGGTATCAAACCATTAACGTTATAAATTGACCCTAATATTTTATTTTGGATTTTCCTAAATTTTTTTTTATTTATTGGTGAAAATTTGGTAATTTGGTTATTTAATCAAGTTATAATTTTTTTAGGTGTGATATTCTTAGTTTATTAAAATATGATATTTTATGATAATTTGTAAAATTTAAAATTTTATCAATTATTCTTATAAATTATGTATTGGATGAATGTTTATGTAATTCAATTACTAGTTGGGTGAATATTAATTGAAAACCACTTTTATTAATCAAAACTAGGTTTTTAATTAAAAATTATTTTATAATTTATAAGTAGTGATTTATGACATAGTATGCCCAGGTTCTTTTTAATACATTTATGTAAATCATCCAATAAATAATCTTCAAACTGTTTATATTTTTAATATTTTTGCTATTAGTATTTTTATATATTTATAAAATATCTTATATTTTCCAAATTATTACATGTTTAAATTTAGAAGATTATCTAAATTATTCATGTGTAAGAAATATTATTTATGATTTTTGAGAAATTTTCCAGATATTTCCTTAGTTTTTAGTATTTTAAATATTTTTGTAATCTCATTTCTTAAATAAAATCGTATTTAATATTTTCATAAAAATATAGCTCGTTTTCCTACAAATATTTGGATATTTATATTTTAATTTTTTCATTTATTTTCGATGAAAATTTTTAAGGCCAAATGAATTTTTTAAGTTCATTAGTTGGTGCGTCTATTTTAGCCGATTAAGATGTTGGATGAAGTTGTTAAATCCATTAATGGTTTTATCCATGATTAGAGGATTAAGAGATTTACTAGACATGCTCGGTAGCAAATTTGCAATCCAATACTTCGAAGTCAGATGACAACAAGTGCAATGAATTTTTGGTGTATTTGGAACTCACCCAAATTTGAGGAATTTTAAATATACAAAAAATGAACTAGAGGGTAAATTCCAAATGCACTAAAATTTTGCATCGCTTTTATTTTACTTCAAACAAAACACTAATATTCTCGAACCTCCAGCATTTAGAATACTTTACACTTCTCAGGAAACCAAACAACCCCTTAGTTATCCCAGAAAATTATAACATGTATCCACATAAGTGCTAACTAATTGTGAGACATATCTGACCAATATAATGAGCTCATCTTCATACTGCATCACATATTTTCTTTTCTATACCAGCCTTAAAAGTAACTTCTGCATTTGTTGTCGAGCAGATGGTGGTGCAAATAAATCTCTATACTTCTTAGCAAATTCTTCCCAAATTTTTTTTGTATTCAACTTCCCTTTGTACTACTATTTTTGCTGGTTTAACCACCAACACTTAGCTTTTCTATTTAATTGAATACTATATTAACGAAACCTTTCTATTCTCAGGAACTGTATGTTATCAAATGAGTTTTTCATCTTAAAATCCAATTATAAGCCATCTTAGGCTCTACAACAACTTGACAATGAGGAGGCTTCAGTCTCACAAATATTTGTAGGTGCTTTCCTATGATGCACCGACACTTCTCCTCAAAAAGGTGTGCAGTGTCCGACACTTATCCAACACGACACGTGTCCGACACTGCTCTGACACGTGTCAGACAAGCCGAAAACGTGTCCAATTAAAAAAATATTAAATATAAATTGGACACACGTGTCCGACACTCGTATCCTAAATGTTTTATGAATTTTTTTAAATATAATTTCTTGTATTTAATTTTTTTACTTATTTAATTTATAAAAATTAAGTTTCTTATTTCTTATTCACAACATCAAATCATTCGTCCGCACTTGATACCCCATTCATCGAATATTTTCATTTCACTTTGGCGGGTTACCACTTTGATTTCACAACAATGCCCAATATTATCTCAACATCGACGTCTGGTGACTTTAAACCACCCCAACTTCTTAGCACTTATCTATTGATCGTTCCTATGGCTTTAGTTATTGATGCAGGCCAACTAGAAAGAAAGAGTCAATAGAGGAGAACACTAGGACAACTAGAACAAAACTCGATTCAGTCTAGAATGCAGACATCCAAACAAATACCAAAACAAACTAAAGTCGAACAAACAAAACAAATACCAAAACAAACCAAAGTCGAACAAACGAAACAAAATTTAAAAATAAAAATACTATCCTCAGAACAACCGGTAAGTGGTTTCCTCACTTGCAACGAAAAGTAGGTAAAATAAGATAAGTGCTTAGGGCTTGCAAACTAAGGATCCACCACAGCAACAAGGTCCAACGTCGAACAAAGCTCCAGAAAATGTCACCAAATCAGCCAACAAACACCTCAAATAGCTAAAAAAGAAAGATACAAGTGGAGTGAAACTTGCGTAGAGAAGAAGAGGTTAGAAGCCCAAGATGAAATAGAGAGGGAAGAGAGAAATGGAATAAGCTCTCAAGCTTTTCGAAGGTAGAAGAAACCCTCAGGTTTTGTAGAAACTTTTCTCAAATATTTAACAACCTTCTCATGTCAAAAATATCTCTAATTTATAAGAGAA